AGCAGCGTGCAACACAGCGCCAGTGTGCACCACAGTGCCTGCGTCAACCACAGCGCTTGTGTACACAAACAGCTCCTGCGTACACCACATCAGCCGTGTGCAACGCAGCACCAGTGTACACCGCAGCGCCTGCGTGCACCACAGCGCCTGTGTACACCACGGCGCCTGTCTGCACCACAGCAACAGTGCGCAACTGAACTCCTGGATATAGAGTATTCGAAGGAATCCTTAGGACAAAATGGAGCGCCAGTGGATTCCACAACAAATATCTGTTATACAGGATTTGGACAAGAATCCTTGCGGAAAGAGGAGCGCCGATGGAATCTACGAGTCCTCCCATGTCCTCCCGCATCATCCTAACTCGTCCTTTTTGCGTTCAGAAGGCTCCCGTAGAGTTGGCTGTCCGAGAACCAAGCGGACCGATTCAATAGACCAGTTTTCCCGGATGCGCACCGAGATGCGCACATGCGCTGAGGCGCCGACCCGCACGACGGGGGGAAGGATGGAGGAGGAGGAGGAGGAGGAGGAGGAGGAGGAGGAGGAGGAGGAGGAGGGGGAGGAGGAGGAGGAGGAGGAGAGAGTAGGGAAGAAAACCAATTTCTAGTTTCAGCACTCCTCTTGCGTGGCGCTTTGCTGTCCGCAGACAATTCTCACCGACATGCTCCTTCTACCTGTCCTGTGCACGCAGGCGCTGTGTACACTAGCGTTGTGTTGCATGCGGATGCTGTGGTGTACACAGGCGTTGTGGTGTGCACAGTCGCTGTGGTGCACGCAAGCTTTGTGGTGTACACAGGCGCTGTGTTGCAGACGGCTGCTGCGGTGTACACATTCGCAGTGTTGTACACAGGCGCTGTGGTGCACGCAAGCACTGTGGTGTACACGGCTGTTGCGATGCACGCGGCTGTTGCGGTGTACGCAGGCGCTGCGGTGTACACGCGCGCTGTGGTGCGCGCGAGCACTGTGGTGTACACAGGCGCTGTGGTGCAGATCACCACACCTACATGCTGTTCCGACTTGGTCTCGGTCATCCCTAGGCATTCCCGGACGTCGCCTGCGCGGAACGTGACGTCACTTGGGAACGGGTGGGGGCGCGGGGCCGGTGACGGCCGTTATCGCGGGAAATTAACAGTAGCAGGCTCATATCCACGCACATGGTTCATTGTTCCTACTATTTTTTGTGTCTCCTCCTTCCCTCTTGCTCCTCCATCTCTTGTCTTCCCTTCTCATCCCTGGGCGATCGAGGTAAGCAGATTGTGCCCGCTCCTTTCCTCGCGGGTCTCGCGTCTCCGCTGGCACGCCGTGCAGACGCCCAGCGCTTTTCTCACGGAGCTGCGTCGTGCTTGGTCGTTGGGATGTCCTTTGCCATTCGCTCCTCCCGGAGCTACGACAACAAAAAAAAAACGCCGACCGTCGCGATGTTCTGTGCGCCGCCGGGATCTGAGGGCCTAACCCACCCCCCGAGGCCTCCTTTGCTTTCGGGTCGTGACTCGGACCTCCGGCGGCCGTCCGGGGCGATTGTGGCACAGGGTCCCGAGTCGGGTCCAAAAGGCTCTCGGCGAGGCGCAGCTGCTGGGACGCGTCCCGACACATGAAGATTACAGGATGTCACGAAAACGTACTGGTTTTGATCGTATCGTTGCGCCCTCCGATCCAGGCGGAGGAGGAGGAGGAGAGGACCGAGAAGGACGACCTTGATCATTGGATGCACGATTGCTCTAGTCGTGACCTACGAGTTCGGTCGCTTCCGATTTTGCTTCAAATTCCGATAATATCGGTCGCGACCGATTTGTTTCAAGATCGGTTCCGATTGGTCTCCAATGATCAGGTATCCAATGATGATGTGGGCAGGGGGAGGGTTCACAAATGGCCGCGGACATGCGCTGCGACGGATGCCAGGAGGGGGAGGGGAGGAGGAGTGAGGAGGGAGGGGGGGGAGGGGGAGGGGGAAAGACGGAGGATGGGGGAGAGCAGGTGGAGGGGGAAGGGAGGAAAGGGGATGTGACGGGGGGTGAGGAGAGGCAGGGAGAAGGAGGAGGAGGAGGCAGGAGGAGGAGGAGGAGGAGGAGAGGAGAGGAGGAGGAGGCGAAGGAGGAGGCAGGAGGGAGGAGGAGGAGGGAGGAGGGGGAGGAGCAGGAGGAGGAAGGGAGGAGGAGGAGGAGGAGGAGGAGGAGGATGCGGAGGAGGGAGGAGGAGGCGGAGGATGATGAGAAGGAGGCGGTAGGAGAAGGAGGAGGAGGAGGCGGAGGAGGAGGAGGAGGAGGAGGAGGAGGAGGAGGAGGAGGCGGAGGAGGCCATTTTGGCAGGCGACCCCGCACTGCGAGCGCCCCGCGGCCGCCGTGTGCCGACGCTGGCGAGGTGCTCGCCCACAAGATCCAGCGCTCCGAGCCCCACGACTCGGTGGCCAGCCTGGCATGGAAGGCCCCCACCCCGCCCCGGCGGCGCCGCGCACGCTGGCGAGGTGCTCGCCCACAAGATCCAGCGCTCCGAGCCCCACGACTCGGTGGCCAGCCTGGCATGGAAGGCCCCCACCCCGCCCCGGCGGCGCCGCGCAGGTCCTGCTCCTCCTCCTCTTCCTCCTCCTCCTCTCCTCCCCCCCCTCCCATCCACTGCCCTCCCTCTCCTGCACCTCTACCCCCTCCTCTTCGTCCTCCTCTCCCTCCCCCCCCTCCTCTTCCCCTCCCTCCCCCCTGGCGGCGCCGCGCATGTCCGTGGCCACTCATGAACCCTACCGCTGCCCAGATCATCGGCTACCGCATCTGTTCGGTCGCGATCGGCAGCGGCCGATGGGCACTCCAAGTCGGCCACGACCGACTGAAGCAAGGCGGTCGCGACGGATACCAGAATTTGAAGCAAGACTGGTAGCGAGCGATCTCGTCAGTCGCGACCAGGAAGTTCTGGCATCCATTGATCAGGGTGCCCCCGCGGGGGGCCATTTGGTTGCGGACATCTTTTGGCTTCTGGACCCCGTCTGGCGTTCCCAAGCTGTGACCTGCAGACGTCGGGTTCACACGTGGTTACCCAGCAGGGGCAGGAGGTGGAGGAGATTTCTGAAGATTTGTGGGGAATGTGACCCCACCTCCTCTCATCGCGAAGAAATGGCGGACGGTTTTTGCCCTATTTCGGCCTCGGGGGGCCATCACTGGGTATCGCGGCCCATGGGACCGTCGAAAAACGGCACATGGGAAACCGGTCCAGACCTCCAGGGGTCCACGCTGCCCAACAAAAACAGACGTTGGAGGTCTGGGGTAGACGCGACCGACCAGGGGCCCGCTGCTTGTCTGGGCGGGCGGGCAACAGGTCCTCTTCCAGACCCGCCGGGTCTCTGGATCCAGCTCCGCTGCTTCCTAGGTGGGCCCTTACCCTGCTGCCCTCCCCCGCCCTCTTTTCGTCCCTCCTCCCCTCATCCCCCACCCCTGCCTTATGATGTTCCAGCCTACTTTAGCCTTGACCACGAGAAAGAAATCCGAGCACCAAGAAAGTACCGAAACTCGATTGTTTTCACGTGTCGGGCGCTGGGAGACACTCGCCCGACACTGTTTCGGCACTTTTCTGGGCGCTCGCAATTATTTCTGGGATGTGGTCCTTAAGTACGACGGGAGCAACATAACCCCTGCCCCCTTTCCCCCCCTTCATCCCCTCCCCTTCCTCGCATCCTCCCTTCTCCTGCCCCCCTCCGTCCGTGGCGCGACCCTCGGTGGCGCGGTAGCCCTTCTCTTACGTCGGGCGTGTCCCTCTACAGGAGGAAGATCCAAACATAGTCTGGAATAGTCAGGGGACGATTTGTTTGCCGATTACTGATCTTCTTTATCAGAAATTGATGTATGTATAAATATGTACGTGTCTCATTCGTTCACCCCAAACCCGCCTGGAGGAGGACATGCCCGACCTAACCCTTCCCCCTCCCCCGTCCCCCCCGCAGGCCACGCTGCAGAAGTATGAGGCCGACCACGCGCAGCTTCTGACCGAGCTGGTCCCCATCCGCAAGGCGGGCGGCCCACCCCGGCGCGCTCCTCCCGCCTCCTGGGCGGAGTGGAGACGGGCAGGTCTAGTGGAGGGAGGGAGTCACCACCCACCAAGCCACCCCAACCCAACCCGAAGGCTCAGATTTGCCCTCGATTTCTAGTGGGGGGGGGGGGCGGGAAACATCGAAAAAACACATATGGAACCCTTACCCCCCCCAACCCGAAATTCGGGTCTTCGGGTTGGGTTGGGGTGGTCTGGTAGGCAGTCAGGGAGCGGGAGGGGGGTCTCCCTCGTCGCCACGGCCGGCTGTGCGCAGCACGGACAAGGCTTGCCGGGGTGGGCCCCCGGGGTGATCCGGAGGACCGATGTGAGGATATGTTGGCCCTCGGCGTCGGCGTCGGCGCCCGTCGCTCGTGGTCGTCCGTCGTCCGTCGTCGTCGTCGTCGTCGCCGTCGTCGTCGCCGTCGTCGTCGCCGTCGTCGTCGTCGTCGTCGTCGTCGTCGTCGTCGTCGTCGTCGTCGTCCTGGCAGCGCAGGAGGAGTGGTGAGGAGGGAGTTGTTCGGGGTGCGGGGGGGGGGGGAGCCAGGATTTGAGATGGCCCATGCGGCAGAGAGTGTGAGAGGGAGGGGAGAGGCGGAGGGAGGACTGGCAGGGGCATTGGAGATACGGCGAGGAACACGTCCGTCCCGTCTCGTCCTCCCCTCTCGAGGGGCCGGCAGTCGACGCCGCCCGCACAGCAGCTTCACCACTCGTGACGGCTTCCAGTCATGGCAATCGTCGTCGTCGCCGTCCCCTCAGAGGCCTCCAGGGACTTCCACAGACTCATACTTATCGTCGTCCTCATCTCAGGAGGGAAAAGGTACACAGACATAACTGATCGTCAACATTCCCCAGAACATCTAGAAAGTATGGGAAGTGGAGGGGGAGACGAACATCCAGAAATGATGGGGAATATAAGGGGATCCTGGTATATGTGTCTATTTTTTTGTGTGTCCCTGGGCTTCTTGACTGCCGTCGTCCGCATCACCGTTCTCAGACACATGTTCAAACGGCTCGAGAGACCGGGACACATTGCAGTAGGTACGCCAACTCCGAAACAGGCCCGCAGACGGATGCCCCACGATAATTCCTCATCTCCTTGTGGGCCCATGCAGCCCTCGGGCACCTCACCATGCTCAGGGAGGCGCAGGATTTGCCCCGTATTTCATTACGGCAGGATGTCTTATTGTATGCGCTTGCTGTACGACAGATGGCGCGGCACATCATGGACGCAATCGGGATCAGCATTCAATCCGCCAGGAAACCATGCACACCCATCGAGAGGCAAGAAGAGTTCAGGCAGCAAGCCCGCCTTCTCATGGCCCATCGTCATCGTCATCATCGGTTAGATGCAAGACCTCCCTTGCAGTGACCACGGACCTGCTAGATGCAATGGCGGCTGCCGCCGCGCCCTGATGTTGTGGTCTCGAGGAGGGCGGAGCAGACGGAGCTTACCGACGCCGCCGTCGGCGCCGACGCCGCCGACGACGCTGACAACGAGGGCGAATGGGGATGGTGATGAGGAGGACGAGGAGGAGGCGACATCAGGAACGGTGTGGGGGCGGGGGAGAAAGAGGAGGAGGAGGAGGAGGAGGAGGAGGAGGAGGAGGAGGAGGAGGAGGAGGAGGAGGTCAGGAGGACGACGCTGATCAGGAGGGTGGAGGAGGGCGGCGGCGGAGGCGGACGAGGATTGAGGGCTCAGGAGGGGCGCGCCGCCCTCGCCGACGACGAGGGCGCGATGTCGCCCCCCTGTAGCGGAGACCCCGGCATCGGCGCCCGCTGCTGAGTGCCTGGTTCGTCTGGCCCGACGCCGAGGGCCCGCAGCGCTTCTCGGGGCAGTCTCCGGGGTCCTCCCCCCTCCCTGCCCTCCCTTTGTGCTCGCCCTCGTGCCCACCCCTCTCTCCTCGTCCTGCTCCTCCGCGTCCTGCTCCTGTCGCTTCAGCTCCCCTATCATGCTCCTGCCGTTGCTGCTCCTCTTCCTCCAGCTCATCATCCTCCTCCTCCTCGTCCTCCTCCTCCTCCTCATCACCATCACCATCACCATCATCATCATCATCATCATCATCATCATCATCATCATCATCATCATCATCATCATCATCATCATCATCATCATTCTCCTCCTCCTGCTCATGCTGCTGGTCTTGCTCCACTTGCTGCTGCTGCTGCTGCTGCTGCTGCTGCTGCTGCTGCTGCTGCTCCTCTTCCCCCTCCTGCTCCCCCTCCTCCCCCTCCCCTTCGCCCCCCCCCGCTCCTCGTGCTCATCCTCCTGCCCCTCCGTCGGCCCGCCGCGTCCGGAGAAGGACACCATGCAGCTCCTGGCCCCGGACTGGCGCTACTCGCGGCGCTACTCGGACTTGCCGGGGGCGGTCAACTGGCGCAAGGAGCGCGCCCCCCCCCCCCCCCCGCGCCTCGCCGGGCCGGAAAATGGGAGGGACGCTTGGGAGGGAACTGGGGAACACAGACGGGCAGCACGATGGGCCCGCGCGGACTTCTCGCATCGCGGCCGGGCCGTCCCCCCATCGGGGCTGGAGGGTCGCACGAGAGAGGCCGTGTACACCGAAGCGGTCGGAGGTCTGCGCGTACCTCCGCACGCTGCTCTGTCTAAATCTATCGCAGGCCTATTACCAGCCTGGAACATATCCCTATCCCTATGCTGGGCACCTCCTCATCACGATGCCAATCTTAGGGGTTCCCTGATTTTTTGAGGGCGAATCCCTAAGATTGTCATCGCCTTTTGGCGTGTCAATCTTAGGGATAGGGATACGTTTGAGGCTGGTAAGCCTAGAGGTTGACACCAAGACCAATATCGGCGGTGTCCCTCCACCGCGGGAAGAGGATCCCGATCTCGGTGATGGTGGTAACATTCTGGCTTCCAAGGTGACCGAAATATTGCCACCAGCACCGAAATCTAGGATCATCTTCCCCCCGTGGAGGCAAACCCCTGTGTTGGTGTTGGTGCCCATTCCCAGGCCTCCAACACTATGCTGAAGTGTCTCATTCCGCTGCCAGGCCGGAGGATGGAGGAATGCATGGGCGGGAGCAGCCGGATCGGGGCGCAAGGCGCGAGGCTCGAGGCCCGTAATCGTTTCTCGCCCTCGTCGGGCACATCTGGGAGGCCCTCCGCCCCCACGGCCAGATTTTGCGAGGACTCTTGGGTCGGCGCTGGACCCCCTCGAGGGGCGGGTCGTTCGGTAGCAAATCATGGGAGCCTGGTATACCCTCGTAATCCTGTCCCGGGCGTCAATGAGCGTCGATTTGCGCCTGGGAGTCGATGAGGCGTAGCGCCGATGTAGCCACGGCGGGCGTCGATGAGCGTCGATTTCGCGTCGGTCAGCGTCGGTTCGCAAGAGCGGACAAGATTGTATGGGAGGCTCCCGCGAGTTGCCACCGAAGGGTCGCGGCTGCGCCGCGGGCGGGTCGCTGGCGGGCGGGCGGGCGCCGCACCGGCACGGCAGGCAGGCGGCGGGCGCGGCGGGCGGGGGGGTCGGCCTGCGGGGGGAGGGGGGGGGGGGCGAGGGCGGCCACGAGAGGAAGAGCTGGGAGGTTGGCAAGGCCTCGCCGTTGCAGGCGATGGCTGCACCGTCGCGGAGTGTTGCACGAAGCTTGTCCACCGGAAGCGATGTGCCCACGAGTCTGTGTCTGGACGCCGCCTCCACGTCCTCCAGTTCCCGGCCCTCTTGCGTTGGGTTCTCGTCTGGGATAGAGCGCTGCGGTCTCCACCTTCCCGCCCCTGTCTTCTCTCATCTTGCCTCCTCATCACCTCTCTCTTGCCTTGTACCTGGCTTGTACCTGCCTGCCAGCCTACCTCTTACTTCGACGCCCTGCGAAACTGTCGTCACTTTCGAGAGCTGCTGGGGGGGTCGAGCGAAGTGACGCCCCACGCAGACCTGAGTTTGAGCTTGCCATCCGCGGGGGCTGCGATTTGGAGACTGTCGCCACTTCGAGGAAACTGAGGGGGTCCAGCGGAGTGACGCCCCTCCTGCTGGGGACCCATGACGGCCCAAGATGGCCCCATGGCGCCTGCGAAGCATTCCAAATCGTGACCTGGGCGTTCGGGGAGTCTGCGGTTGGAAGCAAGGTGGCCCGAGGGAGCCCCCAGAGGCCCCCAGAAGGCGCCAAGGAGGCCTGCAGAAGGCCCCAAGATGCCCTCACAAATTTTCGTGAGGCCCGCAAGGGGCTCTCCAAGGAGGAGCCTCCGCAAACAAAAAGCTGAGGAGGATGGGGAAGACTTCGCAGGGAGGGCGAGAATGAGGAAGAGGAAGAGGAAACATGAGTGATGGCAGCATTATTGTCACGACAATGTCGGACAAAGCAACAAGGAGTACATGTTCGGCTTAACTTTCCTGCCCTTCTGCCTGCATGCCAAAGTCCAAGGACGACGGTGCGTGTCGCGAAGCGCCAGCGCAAAAACGGCCTTGGCCTGATCGTTTAGCAGTTGCTGGCTGCATCCAACAGCTGTGTGTGCGTGAGTGAACTCGGACGCTTCCTGATGATGCACGGCGGCACGTGGAGCTCATTCGAGCAAGCGCCCCTTGTGCAGAACGCTGTTTGGGCTGCTTTTTGGGGGGCCTCTCGTGGCCTCTTGGGGGCGTCTTGGGCCGTCTTGGGGCGCTTTTGCGCCGTTCCGCCCCTTCGGAGGCCGTCTTGGGGGCCTCTCGCGGCCGCCTTGGGGTTCTCTTGGGGTCCTCTTGGGCCGTATCAGGGTTTTTTGGACCGCCTTGGGGGCCTCTTTGGGCCGTCTTGGGGCCCTCCTGGGCCGTGTGGGGGCCCTTTTGGCACGACCGCCGTGCCTGCAAAGCCCGGTGCCGCCGCAGCGAGGGGGCGGCGGCCTGGCCGCGAGGGGCGCCGGCGCCTTCGGCGGTGGCCGGCCGCCCGCCGGCCGCCCCTCGCCCCCAGCGCGCGCGGGGACCCACGGGGGGCTGGCGCAGGACGTCAGGGAGGGGTGCGCACAGGGACACGGCGGGGCACGGCGGAGTACAGTCGGGGCGCTGAAGGAGGAATCCTTTTCATTGGGGAGGGGCTCCGCGTTCCTGAAGTGTGTCACAGCTTGCCTCAGGCTTTCCTCATGTTTTCGACAAGAAATCGAAGGTTAGCTTATGGAAAAAAGGGGCCTCGTTCCTTATTTAGGGTTCCTGAAGTCAACGCCCCGACTGTACGCACAGGAACACGGCGGGGCACGGCGGAGTACGCACGGAAACAACACGAATGTGCAGAAGGCCTCCGGCAGGAGCATGCGAAGTACGCGGCCCGTACTCGACAACGGATGCTTGCACTGAAGCCGTCTTCGAAGAAGTGATGGTCGTTGTGTAGTGCATTGTTGCTCCGAGCTGGCCGGTCTTCGTCCTCATCGATACTTCCTATGGTTGATGGCGACGGCCAGTGGGCAACCACCTCAGAGAGCAAGGCGAACTTGTTCAAGACGACCTTCAGCGCGAAGTTCGGCTTGCCAGCCGCAGTGGAAAATGAATTCTCCACAACAAAGCGACCTACGAATCAGCACATGTCTGGTTTTGCACCCCTTCGAGTACGTGCAGTATTTCGGGCACTACGGCAATTTCGAGAGGACTCCGGAACAGGTCCAGACGCCATTTCTGCCCGCCTCTTGAAGCGATGTGCCCAGCAACTTGCGCTACCCATTGCATTCATGATTCGCCTCATCCTCAAGAGCGGCGCGTGGCCTTCAGCATGGAAGGTCCACTGGCTGCTCCTTTTGTTTAAGACATGTAGCCGCCCGCAGCCAGACAACTATAGAGGCATACAGCTGGCGTCACACGTTGCGTAATCAGTGGGAAGGGTGCTAGCAAGTTTTCTTCTGCCCTTCTTTGAGGCCACGGGAGAATACGGTGATAACCTAATGCCCTAGCTTTCGCTGTTTGCAGCTGGCTTTGGGAACTCGGTCGAGGCAATTGCGATGGCTTATGCTGCTCAAGTGTTTCAGGCGCATTCGACCGCGTGCGAGCGGACCACTTGGTGGAGAAACTCAAAGCGAAAGGGGTTAACGACACGTTCCTGAAGGCCATCTCGTCTTGGCTCGCCCTCAGAACTGCTAATATTGCTGTTGATGGTGTGTTTTCAGATTCGTTTCAGCTTGAAGACATTGTTTTTAAGGGTACTGTGCTTGGCCCAACATTCTGGCATATCTGTTGCTCTGACGCGCGGGATGCAATTTCACTTTTGTTTTTTTTGGAAGCCGCACTTGCAGAGGATTTGAATTTCTGGCGTGTTTCGCCTCGCGACCCGCGACAGCTCGGTGCTCGAATCCCTTTGCGTTTGTCAGTCTGCTGTACACGCGTGGGGCTCTGCTAAAAAGATGTTGGTCGAACCGTCCAAGGAGAGCATGCACATTTTAGACACATGTAGCCCACATGGCGGTTCATTCAAAATTCCCAGCGTTATTTTCGACCCGCGCCTGGACATTCAGTTGGCCGTGCAGCACTTCGCCGCGGAAGCCGGCTGACGCCTTCGGGCTCTTCTCCGGACAATGCGTCATTGTGGTGCGAAAGAAATGGTAAGATTGTACAAGTGCCACGTCTTGTCCTACCTGGAGGGCGCCACCCCAGCCGTCTACCACGCCGAGAAGAATAGATTGAAGCACTTCGGCGACTTGCAGTCTTGTTTTTGGGACGAGGTTGGCTGATCGGCAGAGGCAACTTTGCGAGAGTATAGTTAAGCTTGCTCCGCTTGGTATGCGTAGGGACGTCGCCGTTCTTGGACTGCTGTACAAAGTTGCCTCAGGCTTGGCGCCTCGTGCTCATGCAGCGTTTTTCCGTCCAGCTGTGGGCAATATTGAATCATTTGATTTCGTTCCTGCCCAAAGGTTCCACGCAAAGGCACTGTTTGACCCAATCGAACTGGGCCATCCAGCTATCCTACGACGGTCTATATTTGGCACGATTCGAGCTTTCAACCGGCTACCAGACTACATCGTGAATAGTCGCACCGTCCAGCTTTTCCAGAGGAGACTTCAACACAGAGGTAAATCTTCAGCCGGTCGGCCAGGCTGGCATGATATGTTTCGCACAAGTGTGTGTGCATATGAACTTGATGTTTTGTGTTCGTGTGCTGGGAGGGTTTGTCGTAGAACAAAAGGGTGCTCGGTGGCGAGCGGAGGGGGGAAGTGGGAAGGAGGAGGCCTTCTCAGAAGGCGGCGGGGTTTCTCAGAAGCCCTCCCTGGCCTTCTGGGAGGTTTGTGTCTTCGGGGGAGGCTCAGAGAGGTTGCCAGTGTCTTCCGGGGCGGCTCAGGCAACTTTTCAGAAGGCCGGGGGGCTCCCGAGCCTTGTGCGAAGGTCCGCCCCATCTCACTTCCCAGACCCCCGACGTCATGATTTTTTCATGACGTCGACCCCCAGAGGTTTGGACCCATTCCCCAGGACCGGTTTTTCATCCTGATTCGTTTTTTGACGGTCCCGAGGCCCGGTAGGGGCCCCCGGAGGCCGAAAATGTGGAAAAACCTCCCGTCGTGATTTATTTTTTCATGACTCGAGGGGGTCTGGGTTCCCCGCTGGGCTGATCGCCGGGACGCGGCCAGAACTTCGGGGCCCACCCCGCGCACGGGGCGCCCACGAGGCGCCCGCGGGCGGCAACGTGCCGGAGCCTCAGCGCACCTACCCCAGCGCACGGGGCGAGCCTTTCACCTGCCGCTCCTCGAGTGCACCCGGGCGCAGCCGGGGTGCCAGCCAGACCTTGGCCGCCTACGATCCGATCCTCCTCCTCCTCCTCCTCCTCCTCCTCCTCCTTTTCCTCTTCCTCCTCCTCCTCCTCCTCCTCCTCCTCCTCCTTTTCCTCTTCTCCTCTCCTCCTCCTCCTCCTCCTCCTTCTCCTGCACCCCCTCCTCCACCCCCTCCGCCTCGTTCTCCTTCTCTTCTCCTCCTCCTCCTCATCCTCCTCCTCCTCCTTCTCCTCCTCCGCCTCCTCCTCCTCCTCCTCCTCCTCCTCCTCCTCCTCTTCCTCCCCTTCCCGCTCCCCCTCCCCCTCCCCTCCTCCTCGCCCTCCTCCTCCTCCTCCTCCTCCTCCTCCTCCTCCTCCCGATCCTGGGCTGGGGCCGCGATTCCGATTCGAGTCGGCTCGATTCGTCGGCATCGGGGAGGCCAGCCGGAGCTGGGGGCAGCGATTCGGTGTCACGCCGACCTCGCGAATCGATCCAGCCGAGGCCTGCCAGATGGGCTTCGTTCCCTGACTGGGTCCACCCGTGACAGCACGCACGGCCATCGCTCTCCAGTCGTTGCGCGCGCTGCTGCTCGTAAGATAACCTGTTGCGCTACCGCGCGCGTCTGCCACTGCGCTGCGGGAGGGGAGGGGACGGGAGGAGGGGCAGGTATTGGGCATTGCTGCCGTACCCTTTTCGCATGCACATCGCCAGCATCGAGGAAGGACAACTTGCACTGACCAAACTGTTCGAAGCTCCGCGCGGACCTTCGGACTTCTCATGTGCATGGCATTGTTTCCTCCTTTGCGGTTGACAGTTTGTCACAGAAGCGTCCCGCAAGTGATGAAGCCGTAGCCCGATAAGGTTCAGTCGACCTGTGGTGGAAATTATTGGCTGATGCAGCAGTGCACGCTGCCGTTGGTGGCGCGCAGTGATGACAAGAACACATCGTAGCGATACGAATGTGCTGCGAATACGACTGCGAAGCATGGCGTGTGTGAAAAAGAAGGCACCATGAGGGTGAGGATGTGAAAAAAGGGGCCCTGGAGGAGAGGCCGCAGGAGGAGGGCCGGCAGAGAGAGATGATGGGGAGGAGGAGCAACAGCACGAGGGAGGGGATTGAGAAGGAGCAGCAGGTGCTCGTTTAGTTATTCATCGTTCTGCCGATCGGCGCGGGCCCTCGCACCCCCCCCACTCCCCCATGGAGTAGATCTTGGCTGTTTTGGGCGCCTGTTTCGAGCAGGTGGGGTCTCCCCCCCATAATGGGCGCCCTGTTCCAAGCAGTCACACTAAGCAGATGTCCGGAGCCAGACACCCCCCTCTTCTCCCCCTTCCGCCCAATGTCGAAACGCCGAATGAAAAAACGCTCACCAGGAAGGAGGACAAGGATGATGGTGATAAGGACCATGAAGAAATAGCAATGGACGATGAGGAGGGGTGGAGGAGGGAGGAGGTGATGGTGATGAGCAGCAGGACGAGGAGGACCACGAGGAGGAGGACGAGGAGGAGGAGGAGGAGGAGAAGGAGGAGGAGGAGGAGGAGGAGAAGGATCAGCATGAGCAGCGCAACCGGAGGAGCAGAGGGGAGGGACCAGCAGCACGACGGGAGGAGGAGGGGGGGGCAAGGAGCAGCTGCATCCCAGTGCGGAGGGGAGCCAGGAGACGGCGGAGAGGGCAGCTCGGGAGCCCTCGCTGCGCCCCTCCTCCGCGCCCTCCCCGCCCTCGCAGGAGTGGGTCCGGGCCCTCGACGAGCGGGTCTGGAGGCCGGTGCGGGCGCAGTGAGCCGGGCCCTTGCGGAGGACGGGGCCGCGGGGGTCGCGCGGCCGCGCTCGCGCGCGATCGCGGCGCTCTCCCGGGCGGGGAGGCGCCCGCGGAGGCCTGCCGAGGGCGCGCCCCGGGACCTCGAGCAGATCCGGCCGCGGCGGCGAGGGCACCCCCGCGAGGGTCCCCAGAGAGGAGCGACGACGCCAAAAGGCATGCACTGTCCTCCCGGAGGCCCCACCCTGCGTCCCAGATCCCCTCGAGTCATGACAAACATCACGACGGGATGTTTTCCTATATTTTTGGCCTCCAGGAGCCCCCACCGGGCCTCGGGAGCGTCAGAAAACGACTCGGGATGAAAAACCGGTCATGGGGAAACGATCGGGACCTCTGGGGGTCGACGCCATGAGAAAATTTCGACGTCGGGGGTCTAGGGTCGCGGAAAAAAAACGACGCCTCTGTGGGCCCTCACGCCGGGTCCCAAGGCGGCAAGTGTACGCGTCCAGAGGAAAAGCGCGGGTTCTGTGGAAGTGGTCGGGGACCCCAGCCGGGGATCCACGTTCTGAGCAGTTCTTTGCGTCGGGGGTTTGGGCAGCTCGATTCTTCTCCTCCTCCTCCTCCTCCTCCTCCTCTTCGCTTCTCGCTCCTGTCTCTTCGCTCCTCTCCAGGCCCTCGGCGTTGTGATTTATTCCGTCCGCGGTCCCCAGAGCCCCCTTTCTCTTACTGGAGGTTCGTTCCAGGGTCGAGTTGTTTGTGATGGCCCTGGGGCCCGAAGCGGTTGCCAATATGCCAGAAACTTAAACCATGGAGGAGGCATGGTCATGTCCGCACCAACATGCTGATCGCCATAGTTGCGTGCCGTGAAGCTTCGGGTTCCAGACCCCAGGGTTTTCCCCAGGGCCACTTTATTCGTCCTGAGTGTTTGCTCGGCAGTTCCATGGCCCGTTGGAGGGCCCCAGGGTTACAGAAGCGGCGAAAACCGTCAGGAACCGTTTTCTCCAGAAACCGTTTCTGCCACGGTGGCCCTGAGAAGTCAGGCCCCAGAGCTACCCCGGGGGTGCACTCTGACCAGCTTTTCGAGGGGGAAGCCACCTGTTGCGACGAGCAGCTTCGCGGGAGGCTCAAGGCGACATCGAAGTGCCCTCGGACCTCGGTCTTTCGGGGAGTGTATGTTTTTGTTCAGAAGGCGTCAGGCGCCTCGGATCCCTCCCATTCATTACTTGTCACAAGGGCTTCCCAACAAGTAACGTACATTTGCGCACATGATCGATTCTCGTTTCCAGCGGGGGGGGGCTCTGGTAGCCACGCCACCAGGTTGAACCCGCCCCCAACATCAGCTGAATGCTCCTCTGGGAGTGAGGGTGTCGGACGGGGCTAGATAGAAGAGAAGTCCGTTTCAGAGTGCTCCGAAGCGCTTTCAGAGCGTTCCGTAACGCTCTGAGAAGGCCGCTGCGCCCGAGACATCTTCCAGAGTTGCAAGATCTGAAGGGTTCTCGATTGATCCTCACACGATTGTATCATCGTCTTGGCTTCGTCTACACTCGATTGATCCTCGCAAGATGTTATCCTCGTCCTTGCTTGGAAGCGCCTCGGAGCGTTCGAATCGGGTACCGACCACATAATTGATGTATCCCAAACTTTTTGTTGTGTCGGATCTGTGTTTATTGTTGTAGAAGCAGAAGGAATTTTGTAGACGCACAGACAAATTTGGCGGTGTTCTTAGATTCGATCAGAAGCCAGTGTTGGGGCACGGCAGTTCTGCAGCCGATCCTCTGCTCGAAGCGTCTGGGAGTGGAAGAGTGGAAGCGCTCGAGAGCGCCTGGGGGGCGCCTGGGAAGCGCCTGGGAGCGCCTGGGGAGCGCCTGGGAAGCTCGGCGGCGAGCGAGGGTGGGACATGAGACCGAGAGGGCCTTCAGAAGGCGGCGGGACTTCTCAGAAGCCCTCGCGCCTTCTGAGGAGCTCTCTGAGCCTTCGGGGAAGGCTCATGAATCTTCTCGGAAGGCTGGGGGATTCCTGAGCTTTCTGAGAAGGTCCGCCCCCTCTCACTTCCCCCCTGGACTGGTCGCCGAGATGCGGCCAGAGCTTTCGGGCCCACCCAGCGCACGGGGCGCCCACGAGGCGCCCACGGGCGGAAGCGTGGCGAAGCCTCAGCGGACCCACCCCAGCGCACGGGGCGAGCCTTCCCTTGCGGGCACAGCCAGGGCGCCAGACCTTGGCCGCCTACGATCCGATCCGATGCTACGATGTTCGTCGTCCTCCTCCTCCTCCTCCTCCTCCTCCTTCTCCTCCTCCTCCTCCTCCTCCTCCTCCTCCTTCCCCCCCCCTCCCCCTCCCCCTCCTCCTCCCCTTCCCCCTCCTCCCCTCCCCTCCTCCTCCTCCCCTCCTCCTCCTCCTCCTCCTCCTCCTCCTCCTCCTCCCTCTCTCCTCCTCCTCCTCCTCCTCCTCCTCCTCCTCCTCCTCCTCCTCCTCCTGGGTGGCACGCGGCGGGCCATAGCAGTTTTGCCCCGCGGCGGGCACGGGGGCCCGCGCGCAATAGCCCCCAGCGCCGCCTGAGGGGCGGGCGCGACCGACGGCGGACTCCGACTGCAGGGGGCGGTCGAGGTTGCCAGCGTGGCACCGCCGCCTGCGCCGACTGCGATCGCAGGCCCGGGGGCGACTCCAACATCAGCGCGGCGTCGCGCGACTCGCCGTGCACCACGGCAGCGCGCCACCGATGCATGCGGCAGCAGGGGCACAGGCGGGGCGCGGGGGCGCACCTCGCCCTTGGGCGTGCCAGCATTGCGGCTGCCGCAAGAACGAGGAGTGGTGGACCTGTTGCGGCCACTGCAAGAAGCCGATGGTCCTCGTCCAGGCTCGTCCTAATGGTGGTGGCGGCGGCGCACATCGCGACCAGAGACGCCCCCCGAGCCGCGACCGTGACGGCGGCCGTGGCTGCCCACCCTGGCGCGAGGCGACAGGCAGTGTCTCGGCCAGCGCACGCTCGGCGTCTGGGAGCCGAGGCGCAGGCAGCCGCCGAGTGCGTGCCAGCGGACGAGGACCCAGAGGAGTCAAAGCTCGTCCAGCTGGTGAAGCTGCTCCGCCTCAGCGGCGACGGGCCAGAGGTCACCAAGTACCAAGCGAAGATAGACGAGGTCAGGGCTCAACGCGCGGCCAGGCCCATGTCCGTGGACGAAGCATGCAAGGCCAAGGAGGCAGCGGCGGAGGCGCTCCAGGAAGCCATGCTGGAGGCTGAGGAGCTGCAGCGGCAGCTGGACGAGGCCAAGGCCGGCGTGGGCGAGCGCTCCGAGGTCCTCGATCGCGCCACCCAGGCGTACACGGCTGCGGCGCATGCGTTGGCTACGTCTGTGGCGCCCCAGCCCTCGCCAGACGCCACCGCCATGCCGCGCCTCAGCATCTCCGCTGTCCTGGCTGGCGAGACGGTTTGGACGCTGGACGACGAAGGCCTCTTCGGCTTGGAGGAGCTGGACGGTTTCGAGGTCGAGGAGAGCGACCGCCAGGAGGCTCAGAGGAGCCGACAGGAGCTGCATGACAAGTTCGGCAGCATGGCGCGCGAGGCCTTCGGCCAGTTCAAGGCCTCCGCCCAGGAGTTCGAGGAGGGGCACCGAGCGCAGCGGGACCGCCTCGGGACGAAGAAGCGCAGGACCGCGGAGGCCACCGAGGACGGAGGCGCCTCTGCCGAGCGGGCACCTGCAGCAACGGCTGCAGCCGCCGCCGCGACGCCACAGGCGTCCGCGGCGGCGCGGGCACCCCCGCCAGCCGCCGCCGCGACGCCACAGGCGCCCGCAGCGGCGGCACAGCCGGCCCCCAGCACGGCCGCCACGCCAACGCCTGCCCCTGACGTCATGGAGCAGGGCCGAGCTCGACTGGCAGCAGCGGGGAAGGCCGCGGGCGGGCCGCCAGGCCAGGCAGGCACTTCCGCGGCTGGCACCAAGGGCCTCGGGCGCGGCGCCGGCGCCTCGGCCTGAGCTGCGCGCGCAGGCGCGCCGCGCTCGGCGAGGCCTCCGTCGTCGGACGAATGCGCCTGCCATGCCCCTCGCTAAGCACGCGGCGGATATGATCAGGGATCGTGAGTCCCTGGGCGACGGCTGCGGCTACAAGCACATGAACTACTACGGGCTGGACGGCTACTCAGGGGAGTGCGAGGCCAGCTGCAACGACGACTACAACTACGGCAACGCGTCGGCTTTCGGCTACTCAAGGGAATGCTACGACGTCGACTGGCCCTCTACCGCGAGGTTGCCCCCCCCCGGCCCCCCTCGCCAGCAGTCCATGCGAAGGGGGCAACGAAGAGGGTCAGGGCCATATGCGAGCTATTCGGTGTCAACGTCCCACTCGTCGGCATCTGCCTGCGCAGACCCCTGCCCGCCTTCTCACCCCCGCTGCGCATGGCCCTCTTCGGAGGTCGAGCCGCCCCGGGCCCCCCGCAGCGCGCGGCCCTCTTTGAAGGTTGAGCCGCCTCGGGATGTCGGCCTCGCGAAGGGAGATAATGGGCAGGGGGCGCCGGCTGCTGGGCGCTGCGCTGGGCCCTCGGCCACCCTGGGTGACGGTGAGCCCCTCCCCGCGCGAGGCGTGGGCCCGTCTGCCGGTGCGCCCCTCTACGTGAGGCGTGGACCCGACTGCCCAGAGGTGGCCAACGCTGCGGGTGACGGAGCGCTTTTCCCTGGGGGAGGCGCGGGCCCGTCGGTCGGCGAGTCCCTTTGCGTAAGGCGCGGGCCCGACTGCCCGGCAGCGGTGGGCGCTGGGCCGAGGCAGCCGGCATCTCTGCGGCCGCGCAGCTACCTGGGCGATGGCGACACCCTGGCCGCCACGCAGGTGAATGCCACGTGCTGGGGCGCCTGCCTGGCACAGCTGGAGCAGGGCAACGTCGACGACGAGGCACAGGCCATCCTCATCCAGGAGCATCGCCTGTTCGACGACCTACGGCTGGCAGCGGCCGTTCGAGCAGCCAAGCGAGCGGGATGGGTGGCCGACCTCGCCCCTGCGACTGCGACGGACAAAGGTGGAGCATCCTCAGGAGTTGG